CAAGAGACATAATGAATTGATGTCCGATATTACTATTTTTCAGTGCTTGGGTAAATCTTGTTGGTTGGACAGCGAATGCCCGCAGTGTTCTGAAACTAAACAGGTCATTTGCCATTATGGAACTAACACGTGTAGGGAGATAGAGTTTTGGGATAAAATCATCAGAAGAAAACCGGTGAGTTGACCCTTACTCGTAAAATCCACCGTTAAGTAGAACAAAGAAGAGAACCGTTTAGGCCTTGGTAAGGTTAATTTAGATTACTTTAAAATTGAGGCTTCTGTTGAACGGTGCCATGTAGATACATCACTGTTCAAAGTTTTAACTTGTTTTTTATTCGGGGGCACAGTGGAAGACCTTGAGATATGTCGATAACGCTAAAGAATTTTAGAGATAATCTCTCGAAAGGAAGTGTTTTCGCCGAGAAGACCGCAGGAAGGCTGCGATAAAAGCGACTTTCGCAATAGAGAAGGAAATTTACACTGCAAGCGCCTGTGAAACACTCTTCCTTGTCTAGTTATAAAAAAAAAAGAGAAAGAAACTAACACCAGAGAAAGAAAAAAAGACCAAATTCTGTTCAATGGCACCTCCTGTCTGCCCCGTTATTTTATCATGTTGGCACCGAGTATTGACTTTACAGGCTACACTTTGAAACATCTCAAATTTAGTTGTGACAGCACTTTTTAAGTTCCATTGTTGTATTTATCTCCGCGTGGGCTTTTTCGATGGGTAGGAGAGGTGGGGGGTTGCAATGGAGAGGAATGAACATGGATTTACATTAATCCAGCACTTCGCTTTTTATCCTCTAGGCTTATCAGTGTTCATCTTTTTTTTCTATCAGTGCCACCGATATTTCAAGAGTGCATGTAGAGTTACAGCTGACTGCCATTGTGATGGAAAACTGATCTGCGAGGATAACGAATGTGTTGTAAACAGGACGAATGAAGACATTAGAGCACGAAGACATTGACCAACGCTTTGGTATTAATCACAAGAAGTTAATTTAAAACTTTCCTAAAACTAGTAACAAATGTATCGTTATTTAACATAAAATAAGTCGATGTTAATTTCTTAGTAACTCAATAACGAGTTCTCAAATAAAAGAAAACAAGTTAGATTCTGACCATATTGATGACGTTTCGCGATAAATCGTAAAATTATCGGCCGACACCCAGTCGATTCACGACTGCATACCCAACTTTGATTTTCAACCTTGATGAAGTCATTTACTGGGATCCCATCCCCAGAATTTATTTGGCTATATTATAAATTAACCTCAACTTACGTTTTGAATAATATCAGTAACTCCACCACGCTAACTTCTCATTTCGTAACGCAAGAGAATACGTAGCTTGTCGCTATTTAGGAATGCCATGATTAAATTGAAAATTATTTTCTTCTGTTCCTCTCTCCCTCTATTTTTGTTCTGTTTTTCTTTGTACTTATTTTTCGTCCTAATAGAAAAGTTGTTCTTCCCGTCATTAAGAGATCTCTGTACTTATCACATGGTTCCGCTCCGTGAGCAAATGAATCAAAAATTTTTTCGGGAAGGTGCGAGACACTTACCTCTGCTGTTTTCAAGACGCGGGGGGCATTATGACTTTCAATTTCTTCTCGGGCGTAAATAGATTAATTCTAACAAAATATAGCCACGACTTTTATGGTCCTATAATTGAGCATCTGCGGAAAGGAAATTGGTTTTCCACACGTGCGACCTCCCGCTAAGCGCTAATACTCACTTCCTCTTAAAACCTAATTTTGCTACTCAAAGGTTATTTCACGTTAAACGTAATCAGTGCTCTGATGAAAAAAAACTCAAACTTTCAAAATGTTCTCAAAATTTTACTTCCGTTTTGTCAAAATTGTTTTGATTTTACACTGCATTTTATATCACAACATTTGCCAAGTGATAAATCTTCAACGCAGAAAACAAAGTTCTGCAGGTTACTTCATCCAACATACAAACCGTTACCTTGACGTTCCAGAAATCGACCGTAAAAAAGTCAGAAATACGATCCATTGTTTGCAAGAATGTATGAAAAATGAACGATGTTTTTCAACAAATTTAGCGGACAATCCTGACAAGAACGGGCGTTTAACTTGCCAACTTTTACCTACGAACAAGTGCAGCGCCTCCTCTTCTTTCAAGCGGAGAGAGTTCTTTCGCCATTTTAGCTCTGTGGTAAGACAGTGTTAGTTTAAAATAACATTGAGGATCTGATCTTTATAATTACTGTTAGGTCGACTTTTTACTATTTTATTCAAAATTTAGCATCTCTTCTCTTATTTTTACTTATTATTTTCACATAATCACGATAAACACCTCTCCTAGAGAATTCTCCCACTCGGTTGGAGGCTGTGATCGCGGTTTGCCAGTACCGGCCTGTGATTAGGAAATGTCACAGTGTGAAACTTTCCTATCAAAGTAAGCGGGTATTTTGGCGGCCAACGCACTATACTGCCTCCTTACTGCGAAAGATCTTTAAAAGGGTATTAATTAATATCATGATGTGCTAAACTTTTAATGACATGAAATTTTGAAAACATTGCAGGGGTGAAATAAGCTTAACTTAGCTTTTTCGTCGGGAAATTCCGCATGGGATCAACCTTTATTGGGGGCAGGGGGAATCCACTATCAAGAAGTTGCACAAAAAACTGATTAAAATGAAAATGATCGCGATTTACAACTCAATTAGGCTTTTAGGGTAACTAGGAATTCCACTAGATTCTGGTTTTTTTTTCGTATTGTGTTTGGGAAGTCTAATGTCCTTTGTCTAGTTTTGATTTTTTCTTCTCAACCAATGAAGTTTAATTTCATTTTTGGATGCTAAGGCCTTTACATTTATCTATGAATAAATCCATATTGTTTTTTATTTTTATTTTAACTTCCTATTATTCCTGACCTAGTCGTGTATTAAATAGGAATACCTAAAATTATTAGTGTTGCTGTTATCTGATAAACATTGCAACCAAATTTAGATATTTCAATCGATGGCAAACCGTGACGCATAAAGAGAGCTGCGGAGGAGGAGGAGGAGGAGGAGGAGGAGGAGGAGGAGGAGGAGGAGGAGGAGGAGGAGGAGGAGGAGGAGGAGGCAGTAACGGGGATAACAATTCATTCCCCATCCGGAAGACATGTTGGCTGGGTGAAAATACACGGAAATAAATGAGCCTACAAACGAGAGTTTCTAGTTATTTAGATCGCAAACAAAATGCATGACATCATACATACTGACCCATTCCTTTCCACCATGGTACCCATCAGAGTAAACAGGAAGGAACAAAGTATGATCATAGCAGGTGTCACGAATTTTACGAAAACAAGAAAAGTAAGTGTAAACATCTTTCCGACGGTGTCCAAAAAAACTGATTCAAAGATTGTACAAATGAACGTTTTAGATTTACAGCTGCATTCGCTTTGAGTTCGCATTGTTATGGTTTAATGTTACTGATGAAATCCTCTAATCATAGACTACCAAGTGACCAAAGATTATTTGTAACGTAATACGAATTGTCAAATTTACAGGTGACGAATATCCATGATTACTTTATACAACAAAAGCAATTTTCCGTTCCCGTCTCCTAAGATCAGTAGGATTCTCCAATTGAGATTAACACTGCACGGAAAAGAAAATCGATAACATGGTACAGATAAACCCATCATGGATAAGATGTATTTCACACTGGGACAAAGTTTAGTTTTCTAATTTACTCTCCAGTATTTGCTGTGACTGATGTAATCATCATCAGTATCAAACCCGAACAAGGTTACTTCAACATAACTGTCGGCTGACATTTATTAGGAGGTCACCTTGACAGCTCAAGTTAATCGTTTTTTTAATTACCTTCAGGCTATCCCATACAACACAGAACCATTTACAATACTTGCGCTCAGCGGTATTGGTACTACCACCATACAACTGCTTGTGATAAGACAAAAGTGACGAAAAGTGTCCAGTTAATACCGCAGCAGTGGCAAGCCTTGACAAACATCACCCTCTGTTTGCTTTAAGTGTTTATACCTCATCAATAACCCCTCCGTATCTGAGCCCCCTCAAAACGTAACAGGGTCATGAATTTCAAAAAAACGATTGTGGCCACTTTTAAAAACTATGGGATTCGCTCCATATTTTCTTCCTTAATCTGGAGACCTTTTCTTGATCCCCCCAAAATTAATTGTTTTACTCTTCGTTAGCTGAGCCTTGTAGCCTAACTGATGGCTGGATGCACTTTTCTGGTTCCTGTTACAAGGTTTTTCCATCAAAGGTGAAGAGGCAAGCTGCTTACGAACAGTGTTAATCGGTTGGCGCTCACCTAGTCACACTAAAATCTGCTTCTGAACAAGACTTTGTCACTTCTGCTGTGTTATCATCTTCAAAGAAAACATGACCTGGACTTCAACGAGATTCGAACAATGTTTCTTTCACCCAGTGGAATGATGGGTCTCCTGTGATCTTTACAGACTGGGAAGAACGCAAACCAACCGACAAGGACACTGGCTAAAATTGCGTTGTTATGCGCTCAAACCAATGATGGAAAAAAAATGGAAAAATAATTTGTTTGCGAAAAAGGCACCGAATCGCCCTGATCCTCGGAACATACAGAAAGGTTTATTCAGAAGGAACTAATCGAGCATTTTTTCATTATCAAAAGAGAGATGATAGTGGTGTTAGAGTAGATTTAATGGATAACGAAATTGAAGCACATTCAATGTAAATTAAATTCTTAAAGGAAAACATTTAGGTGCCTTCTAGGAGGCAGATAGACCTTATACACAAGACTAGGTAATTTAAGGGTGACATGGATGTGACAGGGCATAGACTACTTAAAAGCCAACTGCTGTGTTGCTTTCATTAAATCACCTCACAAGCTTTTCAAGACAGCGTCATTTCGGCACCGTTTCTTGACTGACTCCCGCAATAACTAACATTACTTTAGTGAGTTATTACTATTGAATTAACTAACAGATTTGCCATCTCTTTTAGCAAATAGCGTTAGTTCGGAGTAACAACGAACAGACTTGCTCAATTTTAACAACCTCCCAGGATGGAAGGGAAAAGAGGGAGTGGATAAGGGAGGGGGAGCGCTGAAAAGTCAATCGTGACTGGTTCGTGTAAGAAAGCTATGCATACTTTGGTCGAGGTCGTAACAGTAGCTTTCATCTGAAACTTGTCATCGCGTAATAATCACCACCGAAGATAGATAGTGTCTCCACTTTGCACAGAATAAAACGTAAGTTGTCGGAGGTCATCATCTAAATCCACCTCCCGACCCAGCTGTAAAAAGAAAACAAGCCCTTAGCTCGAAAACGTTGCATTTCAGGTCCCTCTTTAAAAGTCCTATTGGAGACAATACTGTTTTCTACTTACTTTGCTGTCTACCGAAGACAACTTCTGATCAGAGCTATCCACCTTGAACAATCGATAAAGTAATCCTTTGACTTTTCCGATTGTCATAGTTCCTGAAAAAAGACGAAAAAATTTGAACCTGTACGGCTATCAAAAGCTTACTATATTTCTGAAATACTGTGAAAAGCAATAGACTTGGATAAAAATGAATTTGAATGAAATCATATCAAAATTAAAGCGACTGCGATTTACGTGCACTCAATAACATTTTTTCGTAAAAATGTTCATAATGTCCAGTAGAGCTTATTAAAGCTTATTTCATATTCGTTCTCCAATATCAAACATTTATCTAGAATTTTGTAACCATAGTTGATACATTGGCCAAAGTGAAAACAACAAATGTGTTTATGAAAGATGTCTTGTCTCTGGAATACTTGCAGCGGAGTCGTACATTGAAATAGCCTCATACCAGGTAATTTCTTTGTGACAGACTTTTTATCAGGGGCATCAGGGCATGTAATTGTCACAGCTTTACAAAAATTGTGTTAAGAAATTCAACCTTATGAAACTGGACCAAAGCACCTCTGAAATTTAAACCTCTAGCTTATAAATGAGGATTAATGCTTTTTCTAGCCCAAAAAATTACGAGGACTTTCCTTAACTTTTTCGGAACTTTCTCGATGTTATCTAAGACCCGAAATTAAAGTTGAGAGATTGGTTCCAAATAACGTGAAAACGATCATGCTCTGATGGCATTTTTTCACTTGCTCTTCACAGAAAAAATATCTTTCTATCTCCATAACTTTCTAGGTTAGTGGCCTAGAGGATATTTTGATTATACAAAATTCCACGACTTTCTTAGTTTCCTGACCTGTGCCAACCCTATTCTCTAGGCAATGAGCCTAGAGGATATTTTGATTATACAAAATTCCACGACTTTATTAGTTTCCTAACCGAGGCCAACCCTAAAGATAGGGATGTTAAGGATACAAATTAAAGAGTCTTTCAGAGTCTTTGACGAGGAATGGTTTCTTTCAGCTTCAGAAGGAACACCGTGAACTGAAATACAAAGAAAAAAAATTTAAACATTGGAACCGAAAAAATTAACCTCAGAGAGTATCAAAAGTGAAAATTCCAAGATATTCCAGAAATCTTACTGTCGCTTTGCTCAGGTTAAACTTCGCAAATCTGGAAGTTTCATTTCCTAACTGCAAGCAAGAATGATCGCAACAACCACTTTTATCTAGAAACCTGGATAATTTTAAAGAATTGTGCATAATAAACAAACCTTTAACGAGTTCTTCATATCTAGGGTGAGCTTCGATAAATTCAGGTTTTAGCACACTTTTCTCTCCTTTCCCAGGCATTCCACCGGCGTTAACCCATGAAGTAGCGTATTTCTTCAAATACGCTCGCTCTGCTATTTCTCTTTCTTTAGAATTCACCTAAAATACGATTTAAAAAAAAGCAGCACTTTGAAAACAACACATTAAACGGTAACGATATATCAAAAGATACAGATTGAACAGTTTGAAAAATGATAACGCTTCTTGACGCGCTTGCCACAAGTCGGAACCAATCACAACGTAAGCACTCTTTATTTAGCCAATGAAGGGCAAGCTCACACGAAAATTTTCCCGCTTCTGCACTAGTGACACCAGCGACCAATCCTGCGACCAACCGCAACCGTAATTACCTTAACATTTCAAGAATTCTATAAATTTTATAAAACAAAAACAGAAACAACAGAATAACCAACGCAAATTGTTACGTTCATTTTTGTGTGAATTTCCTTAAGAAAGATTTTTGTTAATAAAGAGATGCTCTTAAAACTGGGTTTTCTAGCCTATTAAAATGGCTGATGTTGAATAATTTAAGAACCGAAACTGAAATTTCGGAGGAACTAACCGGGCTTCCATTGAGGGATGTTAGTGAAGGAACACGTGCCAGCAGTTCTTGACGACTTTCAAACGTGGTTTCATCTGAGAAAGAAAAACGATTTTTTAACTTGTTGCTCGAAACAATTTTCAAAAATGTAGCAAATGCAGCCATCTGTAATTCGTACCTTGAAAGAGAGGATTCCCTTTGAAGCGTAAACCATTCAATGAAGGAAGGTGATTCAACTCGTTGATACTTTGTAGCTTAAATTGGACAGAGAAAAGAAGCATTTGAGAACTGGCAAATATTTTACTTTACTAGTCCCATCAACCAAACATTTCTGTCTGTAAATAGCCAGGCAAACACAATGGAAAGTAGCATTGCTGCAGGTGAAGTATGCTCCCCAAACCATGATAGTGTATGTGAAATCACGACACTGGCTGCGATTTGAGATTCCAGAGATTGACTTAACCCTTGAAAACTTCTGTTCAAATGCGTCAAAAACTCGATAGAGCCAAAGGAAACACAACTAACCTCAGTTATTATGTTGTTGCTTAGGGAGAGAGATTCTAATGAAGAGAAGAGAGGAACACCATCTGTCCTGTCTAAAGGAACAATGAAACAAATTTACACATACTGTTAAATTTATGGTGAAAACCACAAAATACAACAATACTTCCATGTACTTGATGTACTAACCTTGGATCTTGTTTCCCAATTCAACACTCTTTATGCCATTGTCATTTAAAATAAGACATTTCAGTCTGAAAAAAAAAAGAATTTTGAACAGATAATTAACAATGGAGAAACTTAGGGTTTTGTATTAAACCAGTATGTAGACATGATGATGAGAAAACACAGATCGTTATAAATGGCTTAATGGAAAACATAACATATCTACCACTGGAGGGGAAAAGTTTTTAAGTGTGTGCCTTGGATAATATTTGTGATTATTACCTTGATAAATGCCCTAGTCTCAAAATCGTTTTCCAATCTGATAGCTTGTTTCCCTCTAGGTTGAGAAGTTCTATATTCTGGAGTGCTTGCAGCTGAGTGAGTTGACCATCTTTTTCCCTGCAAAATTTTTTTTGCCCATTGAATGTCGAGTGTCATTCATCTACCAGTATGAATACATAATCTGATATTCCATGATATTGTTTGTCAGATGAATGCCACAAGTCTTAAAAAAGTGAAAACCGATGGGTCATTTTAGCCAAGATGTCATTGGCTGTAAAACTCAAGTTGCATTCAACAATAGTGATTGCTCTGCTTTGATGCCTAGGATGAACAAGGGGAACAGATGACAACAAACACTAGAAACAGTAGTGAAAAAGAACAAGTATACAGTGGCATCTTCAGGCCACAATACTTTCTCACATTTCAGGTTTTGAGAACAGGAAAGAAAACCAAAGGGCTGATGTCAATCTGAGATCCAGTGTTCTACCATCACAAAACCTTGGTCCACCATACAAGGAAAAGACATTTTAAAAACTCTACAATTTACCTCAGATTGTTCAAGCAGTTGTGACAAGCATGAAGCTCTTTAAGTGAGGGCATCATGCTTACAATAACTTCTACCTACAATCGACAAGAAAATGATAAAACAAACATCAAAATCATATGTAACTAAATTTTAGAACACTATGCAAAATAACTAGAATGAGGCAAAGCCACAGCAATTGCGAAAATGTTTTTAAGATAGGGTTCCTTGTCAAAGTTTATGTTTCTCCTCAACTTAACTGAAAACTTATAATTTCTAAAACATGCAGTTGAGGAAAAAAAACTTAAATCAACAGTACATGTAACACTACATTTTAAAATTGCATTTATTTATAAATTTTTATTTCCACATAACTACAGCTTTTATCTCTGTTTGCAGTATGTTCACAGGTTACAAATATCCCTTGGCCAGACTACATTGAGCAGTTTACAATTCCCCCCAAAAAACTTTCATAGGCACTTGAAGATATTCAATGTTTCCTTCACCTCATTCCATTGTAGCTTCATTCTGTTGAGAAACATGACTAATACTGTGCTAAATGATGGCATCAGCTGTTCAGGGTTTTGAGGTAATTTTAGAAAATTTTCACTGGAAAATGAAAAAAAAAAAAACAAAAAAATGTTAACCAACACAAAAATGGTCAAATTGCTTGGGCAATTATCTTATGTTTTCAAAAGTAGTTGACATGCACCTAAACTCATTCAGACATTATAAAAATGGAAGTATCTTCAAGCAAAATAACTTACTTAAGATGAATTGTCTGTAGTTGGTGTAAATTTTTTGTTATTAAAGCAACATCACTCCATGACGATATAAGAGTACCAGACAGGTCAAACTCGGATACGACTAAATCAAGTTAAGAAGAAATTAAGATGGCCTTCTATTGTACTTGAGTGAAAAAATATATATACATGATAAATACCATCACTTCTAAAAGGGGACAGTTGGCTTTAAGAGGCTTTAAAGTCAGAGACTAAATAGAAATAACATTTCAAAATTCAGGAAGGAGCAATCTTCATTTCTTCCAATTAGCTAACTGTAGATAAGCTTACTTGGGTAAGCTTATCATTCCTACCTCATGAAAAAGAGCAGAGATCCTCCCACAAACATCACAGACTAAGAGGAATTACTATGTCACAATAACTACATTAATTTTGCACAGAAAAAAATTATATATTTGTATTGTTTTCTTATATTTTGCTAGTGTTTCCAGTTACAGCTACTAATTTAAATTCAGGATACGTGGTGCTATTGTGTAAAATTCACTCTCTTTATCTGGTCCACTAACTTCCATTCCTCGTAGACTAACCACTGTTAGTTCCTTGTAGTTGCTGAAGATTTAATCCCAGTATCATGACATCAATAAATCATTTGTAATCATGGAGGATCAATATGCTGGTTAATTATTAACAAATGCTACAGAAGAAGAACTGGTTTTGTATACTTTGGATGTTTTGACTTGAAAAAGATGAAGTAAAATTGGTTAAGAGAAATAAATTGTAGTTCAGAAGCATATTATGGGGCATTTGTTTCTGTTAGAAATCGGGAGTAAATACTCTTTTCCACAAAAAAGACCCCATCACATTGTATGACTTATAAAAGGGCTTTAATTCACAATTCTTTCCTTAATCTATGATTCAGATTGGGTTCAAAGGGACCTGAAAGTGGTTATTCAAGCAAGCTTTTCCTCTCTGTGTTGTTCCCACAAAAATCATTTTCCATCACTTCCCCATTCATTTCTTGACTTTCACACAAACTCTGTAACTTTCCGGGCCTAGAAAATGATACAATTGTTAATTTCCCACAACTCACACAGAGCCTGTCTTCTACAAATAACAATGAGTACCTTTGTTTTTCCTGAATAGAATCTGCGCCAACCATCTCTACAGGCTTTTTCTTGTTCTTACCGCTTATGACATACATGTCCTCTGGGTTGATTCCATCCCCACCCAGCCCATACTGTTCCTTTAGCGCATCTATGATGCTGATACCAAAGTCTACTTTCTTTGGTCTGACAAAGGAGCCACTCTTTGGATGCCTGTAATCATATGTTGAGAGAAAAGACTGATCACCACAGGGGAAGAGAAGAGGACCCACAAGAAAGAACAGTTCCAATAGCACATCGGCCTGTTCAGTCACAAATAGAGCTACTCCAATAGAGCAGACAACTAGTATTCTCTTCCATGGTCATCAGACTGATGGAGGGCAACAAAATCATTAGGCTACAGACACTTTAAAATTAAACATTCATAACTGATTGACTGAGTCAATCAGTCAAGCTTAGAATTAAATTCTGTCTTCTTTAATTAGGGCTACATATTCACAAACTGTAATGACCAAGAGTATTGCTACACTCCCTAGAGATCAAGCTGAACTATTGCAGGCCAATCACTCTGTCATGAGGAGATGCAGTAGCCTTGTGCTTAATGATCTAGAGTGAATGTCAAATATTACCTGCATTCAAAATATTTCACCCCTTCATGTGTTCCATCATGTTTGCCTCTATCCGGATCATCCCATTCAATACCATACCACTCACCTAAAAAATATAATGAATTCCATGTTTTGATTATTTTTCATGAACTTAAGGAGTCTTTCTTTAGGATAACTTAGTAAGTTTTTCTATACACTGTGATGACTTTGCCTGAAACACATGTAACATTTTCTTCCAACTATGAGACCAGTTCAAAACCAAGGAATCAGAGTTGGCATCAATTTTTCACCTCTCATAGACAAAGCAGCCAGTCTGCACTGTACCATAGAGTAAGCAAAAGTTTTTATCCCAAACCCTCATTGCCCTTTAAGTACAATTTGCCTTCTAGATGGCGGACCACCACAAATTTCACCCTTCTCTGCTGGCTAGCAACCTGATCAGGACTCTTCTAAACAAATTTGGATCAATGTCAGTATCCGAGTAACTCAGTGCACTTACCCCTTTATTGTGTTTTGATACTTCTTATATATGTACGCTGGTAAAAGTTTTTTTCTTACTTTAGCTATTCCTTAAATTCATTTATTGTAGAAACATGTAATGAATATCTGGGATCAATAGTATATGTTTGTCATTTCGTCACTAAATTTCTGCGTGTTTAACATACATGAATACGTAAATCAATTCAAACATTCAACAAGCACTGAAAATACGCTATCGTAATTTTCGGTATCTCTATGACAGGTATCAGTGGATTTGAGCGCACATAGGCATTCTTTTATCTCATTGTTGATCGAATTGAACAAATAATCTGCCCACTTACCTGAGGTAGGAGGAACTTCCCCGACATATTTTATTACTCCGCGAAATCCCTCGCAGATCACTCTTTTACCTATAACTTCATCTGCCATATTGTTTACACCAAATGTTCTGGACAGCGGCTTTACAAGGGAATTTTAATAGAACACAGGTACTAATTGGTTTAGACATCCACATAAGAAAGTGACCAATAGGAAGGATTGTTTTGTCGTAATGATCTAATTTTTCGCGCCAATTTTCCTTGCTTTACGCTGTGGTCATCGACTCGGGAGTAGTAGTTATGCAACATGCCACGAGGGCGCAAACGAAAACAGGACGATAATTCTGATCGTGGAAAAGATGAAGCGGCAGAGGCCGAGAAAGAAATATCTGCTGATGAAGATAGTCCAGTGAAAAAGAAGAAAGATCTGTCCAAGAGCTTGACTTTCAAGATCGAGCATTGGTAGGTTGTTCTCATATGGTTTTTTTAAATCTCAGAGCAATTTGGGTAAAATTTCCGCACAGCACCATACTATTGTTAAACAAATCTGTTTTCCCAGTGACAATGTATTGTTTTTGTCGTTGTTTTCCCTATCCAAGAACTGAATGCATAATGTAATATGGGGCTGTGCGGAAATTTAACCGCAATTTGATCGGTGTCTACATTGAATGTTTGGATCCGTTGTTGAATCAAAACAATTGTGAGGTTGTATACCAGAGTATCTTACCGATGGTATGTTACCATCTCCACTTCTAAAGGAAAACCTGAACCCTCAGCTGTGATTCTCAAACCTCCCTTACCCCAACTCTCGGTTTCAAAGAGAATTAATTAATTATCTTCCATCTCCTGCTTAAAGGCCTGTGATTTAATTGTGTGCGTATTTTATATGACACACAAATTGTTTGAAATTGAAGAGATCTAACCTGTGCCAGCCTTTGTTTAGCCACAGCAAACAGCCCATATGTAGTTAGAAAGTGCATGGCTCCAGTCATATTGCAGTAATTCCACCTTTAACTTTTAAGATCTGATTGTTAATTCTCCCCTCTAGCTGCTACACATTTCCTTGTAAATTAGGTATGAGAATTTGGTGCAAGATCGACTTAACAAATTCTACCTTATAATTTTGATTATTCTCATTACCTGTTTGCTGGATAATATATGGATATTATAAGGAGAAGTTACATGTTAATCACTTCCAGGGTTTAAAGGGTCAGACTTCTCTTCTATTTTTATTTTTTACAGTAAATCCTGACAGGTGTATAAAAGGAATGCAAATCAGTTGTCCTCGGACTTGCTGAAGGCATTCCCAAGTGCCCAGGTCCTTATCAATGAAACTAAACCACGTTCAAAGAGTTTTGAATTAACAGCCGTGAAGGAGGATGGAGAAGGTTGGTGAAAAACAAAACATGAAAAGTGTGTCAGTTCCAAAGGGGATGGTAACAGGGTCTTTTATTAAAGAAATGTAGAAATAAGAGTAATCACAGATTATTTTCCACATCTAACTTAAAAAAAAAAGCTGAGGCCAGTGAAACTTAACCAGAAAATTCTGTGTAAAAGCAAGAAGCCACAGAATTCTCCGATCTCTGATTCCTTAACCCTTAAGTCCTTAATATCAGTTTGTGTCCTCTTCAAATTGACCCTCTTTCTACATTTCCATTTTAGAGTTACAGCTTTGGACAGGTATAAAGAAGGGCCCACCAAGAAAACTGAAATTTCCAGTTAACAGTGATCTCATTGAGGAAGCAATGAAACTACTCTAGTGGCTTATCATCACTCAAGGTCAGGTAATAAAAGGAATGTATTTTTCTTTAATCACACTGCGTAGGGTTTTAGACATACTCTAAAATTAAATCTATTCATTCACAAGGTTTCTTAGGCATTTAAATCAGTGTTTTCTTAAATTATTCTGATGAGAAGCACATAATTTTTACTTGTGTATCTAATTGCAGGTTCATGTTGAAGTTTAGTTTGGATATTTGAGGCTTTGGCCTACAAGAAACTGATTTCTGTTTTCTGTACATTGCAACCAAATAAATGACAGTCTACGAAACAATGGAGCTCTTTGCACCATTCATAGACTTGATGTAGAGTTGGACTCTGTACATTGATGAAATTAGTAATCTGGTTAGGCTTGACCAAAAAAATATAAGAAGTTGTATTATTGATTTGTGTTCATAAGGGAATCCATTTTTAAAACATTTACCTATCAATAATTATTGTAGTCTGGGTTGAATTATGTTTGTTTATTTGTTGTTGTTGTTTTGAGAAATTGTGATGAGATGCACTAACTGATAACTACATGGTTTTTAATGGGATAATTTGACTAAAAAGTGTTTGAATGAGTTTGAAGAAGAAAGGTTTGCTTCTCAGAGCTTTTCTGTTCTTGCATAGCCAATAATAGTGAAATGAAACAAATAAAGAAGTTGTTAGTCTGTTTGCTTCTGTTGTGTTTCCTTATTGTAATTTTATATGGGATGTAATTTTTCATAGGCAAGCAATTCACCCTTTAAATCCCTTGGGTGACAAAGACAGAATTTTTCCATATAATATCAATACTATATCAAGCAGACCAATGATGAGAATAAGGAGAAATATCAATTAAGGGATAATTGTTGATCCACTTGCAAATTCTCCAAACTAACATCATAAGCATTGTAAAGCAGACAGTAAAGACAATGACTTACGAGATTTGGGAGTTAAAGGGTAAAAATTGTGAGAAATAATTAGTTACGAGACATTCTAAATCATAATAATGTGATATTATTTATGTGTCTCTTAAATGAATCATTAAACTGTTTTGGACTCTATGTGTAACGAGTTAAAGTTTTGATGCACACCCTTATGTCTTTACATCTGTTAATCTTTTTATTGCCTAGAGTTTTTTCCAAACTGTAAATTGAACTATCAAATAAATTTCTAGACTACAAATAGTCTTTGCAAATGGTTTCAATCCTCCTTTACAAGTATGCAAATGGCAAAACAAAAAGTTATCTTCAATGTGCTTCAGTGAAAAGCTAAGCACAAGTAATAATTTTCAACAAATAAGTCAAAAAATTCTGATTATTCTCCTTATGACATATGCTCCAGAAAATATTGATGCTGATATATATATTACCACTTATAAATCATTCAGGAGGTGTTTTGAATAAATTTAGAGATAACAAAATGTTTACCATTAAGTTTCAAATTTATACCAAACAGATTATCTGTGCTTTCGACCACAAAAGATACCTTCATTCATTATTAATGCATAACCAAGTCACAACTTATATTGAAGGCAAAATTTTAGGGGTGCGTGGGGGCCTTTTATCTTTATTTATGTTTTCTGCTTAATGAAACTGCCTATGGCAGATGCAAGGCAAGCTGCTGAATACAACAAAGAGCTTATGGTACCCGGGGTATAAAAAGTGGTGCACTTTTCCTTTTGGTGGTGGTGGTGGTGGTGGTGGTGGTGGTAGTGGTGGTGGGGGGGGGTTTACTAATCCTGATGAAAAGCAGTACCCCTCTTTTAAAAACACATATTGCTTTCCAAAGGGAGCCTCTGAGGAAACAAAAGAGCAGGTTGGTTTTTCCAGAGAAGAAATTTTGTAACATTCTTTATCCCAGTATGTAGTTCTTCTGAATTTTTGAATGACAATATCATGGCACAAGTGGTCTGCAAAAGTGGTTTAGCAACACTTGTGTCTAAAATGAAATGTTGGAGGAAATGCACAACTGAAGTAAATATTGCCCTGCCAATGGAACCAAAGTGTACTCAATTGGGGGAATAAACTTCCAAGTATTGTGACACCAGAGAACTCTCTATGGGGTCTTAGCAGCAGAAGACCTTCCTCCTTCCTCTATCCCCCCCCTCCCCTCCCCCAATCCCCCTAGCACTAAGACGTAGGCAAAAACACTCCAAACATAAACTTAAGTTTACGTCCTCTGAGAATTTTTCCGGTAGAGACGAAACAATATTTTTTTCCCATAAATCAAGGCTAAAACGGAGATATGCATCTGTGAATTTTTGATCTCCGGTACAGCAAATCTTCATAAAAAAAGAGAAACTTTAAAAAGCTATACGGAAATGACCGTGTATTAATGATTGCAATGGTGTTTGGGTAATTTAAACGCTTTTACAAGTTGCAAGTGTAAATAAATAAAACTAATTTTTTCTTGAGGTAAAATAGAGCGCAAAATAAATAGCCACGAGAATTGAATGTAGATGAAAAAATACTTTCATCTTCCTTTCAATCATCTTTGGTTTTCGCTTTGATCAATCCCAATTCCTGTATGACTTTATATTGGTCTGGTATTTCCATGAGCGCATGAAGAGCGAAGGAAGTATCTGGATGTTTCGCGTTGCGTATAACAGCCTCGTATTCAACAAACTGAAAATTGTCGAACCGTCTTTGCGGCAACATATCGTCATACTCATGCATACGATCCCATGGACCGTCTCCTACTCCAACAACAATGATCGAAAGTGGAAAATACGACGCCTCTACAATCGCTTCCCTTGTGCTACGTTCGTGTTCCTCTACAACCTGACCATCAGCTACTATCACCAAAATGTTGTATGATTTATCCTGCTTGACGATCTCTATAGCTTTGTTGATGATCGGTGCAAATGAAGTCGGACCACTTAGAGATACTCGGCCAACAACATCGGTGTACTGTTTCAAAACATCGCACAGCCCTTGGCACGGAGTGCCGTCCTCGTTGAAACTAAACACGCTATGATCCTTAGTCACGGAATCACCGAATCCGAATGCTGGAATTAGCTTGTCTCCGTCAAACGGTTCGAGTGTTTTGGTTATAACTTGCACAACACGCTGGTAGGGGTTCAACCTTTTGGTGTTGTTGAAAACGTGATGCAATGACCGTCCACCGAAGCTTTTTCTTCCTTGCCATTCGTTACTCGCCGTGAAATCAATACCAATAATAAGATTGCTCGACTCTAAACCAGCTTTTTTAATTGCACTTGAAACTTCTTTCACCGATGAAAATCTGTCCTTAATAGCGTGAAATTCATTCAGGCCGAGAATCTTACACAAAGTGGAACCTCTGAACCGTTTCGAAACCACCTTGTAAGTTTGAAGTGATTCCTTCGGTCGAAAGTAGATGGAGTAGACAACAAATCCAAAAATAGCAGATGTAAAGAACAGTATAACATCTATTGGAAAACCAAGCTCCATTTCCTCTCCAAAGCGATTTGCGGAAAATGAATCAGCAAAGCAACTAAACAATTAATTCACGCACCTGGAGCGGCCATGACACTCTCAAAGGTTACGTATAATTCTGTGTCGTAAGGGAAAGCGTGACAGTTGTTGGATTGAATAACACAACGTTTCCTGGTGGATATTGTTGAAACTCGCTGAAAGTGTTTTTTAATTGTGCTTCGCCTTTTTTATATTCTGTAAAACAGTATAGAATACGTGCGTTGAATGATCATAAGCTTTGTTTCTATTAACGTTTCCTACGCTCATGCATTAAAATATCACCTTGTCACGGCTTGCGGAAAAACGTCACAGTTTAAGGACATACGTGTAAGGAAACGAAAATGATCATGAATGCATACGATTTACATGGATCGTTCGCGACCAACTTGGAAATCTTATGCTAAAATCTTAGGTGCATTTTCAAACTCAGTGTTTTACAAGATGTTGTCCAGACGTGCATGGGTAAGAGCCTACGAAGAAAAGACTTAGAACTTATGGAATTTTAACACGTACTTTGAGGCGTGATGTCGGTCTTACTTTTATATTGCTAATTAAAGTCCAAGAGACTTTCATATAAGACATTCTCCGTCCTCTTAGAGTTTGTTTACATCAGACAACCGTGATAAGCAAAACGTTGAAAACAAAAAAAAAACAAACAAACAAACAAAAAGAAACTAACATCTAGATCTTTTTTGAAGGTTTAATAAGGTTCTTTATCGCTTATTTACGTGGCCTACTGAACACCCATATTCAAATACACCGCTCTCTTTACCACAAAATAATGACGCAAAGAAACTTTATCGAGAGAAGCAAAAATTTAAGTTTTATTCGATGGATATCGTCATAAGCCACAAATTACGCCAGAGATATTAAGTAACACAGGTGTTTGAAGACTGTCATTTTAAAAGTTGGATTAATTAGGAAGATGTTCGAATTGTGCTCGACACTTAAAATTATCCTGGCCAAATTTCAACTGAGCCGATTGAGCGGTTTTTGCTGTACTCCGACATTTAATCGAACAAATTTGTTGATCCATCTGTTTTAAAACACATGTACACCTGTCGCTTGCGGCCACGAAATGAATGATCTCGTATCATTAAATGCAGATCAGTTAAGCATTGAAAGAGGAGATGAAAAAATAATAAATATTTTCTCGCGACAAAAGCCTCTCTTTAATCTCAGTGCGGGGAGATGTCGGTCCGTAGGTGAAAAGTTAAGTGACGTGATTGACTTAAAATAACTATCAATACTGAATTGTGACCTCTCTCTAATTGTGTTTTGACTGAGCTATGATTTTGTGTTAATTTGAATATACTAATTTGAAGAAGAACGGAGATGCAGAAAATCAAGTAATAAAGTCAGGTTTTCAAAGAAAAACTTCAAAAAATGATTATTTTGAAGCTAGGAGTTGACTATTCGACAATTTTTGATTAATTTGAATTGAATGATCTAGATCTAGATAATAATGTTCATGAAGGAAAATGACTGTTTTTTTTTGTTTGTTAATTATTTTTCAAGAAATAAAAAAACGATCTTCGCAGATCAGCAGTTATAATTGCAATTCCACGAGAGAAGCCGGAAAAATTCATGATTTTATGAGGTTCGAACTCTTGCCTTCAAATATTGCAGTCAGGTGTTTCAAAACATGATCATTTCGAATTAAGCAATAACGAAAGAGAAAGAGGTTTTTCTTTTTTAATAAAACTTTCAATAAACATAAGGCATCCAAAAGAAGACAATAGTGTCCATAATCAGATGCTAGCGTCCGAATGTCTAATAATAATGTTAATTAATTAATTAATAATGTTTAAATCGGAATCTAGTAACTTGAGTCAGACACCATTATCAAACACCGGAAATTAGTGTAAAAAATCAGACGCTATTGCCTGAAATCGGACACTAGTGTCTTACAAATCAGACACTGGTGTCTAAAATCAGACGCTACTGAGTTTCTAAAATCGGACACTATTGTCTAAAATCGGACTCTAATGTTTATAATCGGAGTATAATGGCTAGAATCGGATACTACTGTCTGAAATCGGACTTAAATGTCTAAAATCGGACGTTTCTGTCCTAAAACGGAATCTGTTGTGGTGAGTGACGCGTTACTGTTCGTAAACGGACACCAGCGTCTGATATTGGACGTAAGTATTGCGTATTTTTTGGTCCTCGACTAGATTAGACTGACTCTGAAAGACGTTTAATATAAAGGCCCTGGCCTTAGGAAACACTTTCTTTTC